TTCTGTTGTAACAGTGCCTGCAGATTGTGTTTCTGATAAAACTGATAAAAATGGACTTATTGATTGTGTTTCCACCAAAGTTGATACCTTGAAAAATGATGCAATTGTATCCTATGATGAAGCCTCAGTGACTGCCTTTGGAAATGCATTATCTGCAGGTCCTGTCCTAAAGTTGATACAATTGAGTCGATAATTGGAAATGAAGAACCTCTTTCTGATCCGTCTATTGAAACTGACATGGCTTATACTACACTTGATCATCCCCTGTCCTATGATGATATTAAGTCTGAGGACCCCCCTGTTATCACTGAGAACCAATTTCCTGCTGTTGTTTTTCACTGGATTATCTGATTAACTTAATGTTATGTTTCTTTTTGCTGCTGCTTTGGCCATATATACGAGTTTCAACTTTCAATGTTAGTTTGTTTCAGCTTTTTTGGCATTCTGAAATTAATTCCATTCTGGCCGAAAAGAATTTTGTTCACAAATGAAGTTTAGGCCCATCATAAATCTGAAATTCTTTACTTTATCCTTATGTTATTGATTTTTAAAATTAGATTTACTAATTGTGTGTTTTCTCATCTGCTGCAGGCCTCAAAGGATATGAGCCAAGACTTGAGAAATGGATCCTAATCACACTTCATGGACTGAAACACTTCGATAGGTAAGATGGTTTGTCTTTTGCTAAACACGCTTCATTTACTGTCCCTTTTGTAAACTTTTAGCATACCCTATTCAATATTATTTATTATCTCCCAATTATTTAAATGGTGGAAGGGAGTTAGCTTGGTCCTATTCCGTTACTGCAGCTCCCAGACGGTCGACACTGTTTACTGCTCCCCTACAAAAAAAAGAGTGGCAATTTCGTTTCCCATTTCATTTTTCGCAACCGTTTGGGTTAAGAATTTAATCTTAGTGGATAAAAGCTTTTGTACCTTTTAAAGATAGATTCGTGTTTTAAGTTTCTGCTTGCTGATATCTCATTTATATCCCATCGTCATTTTTAGGGACAATTGATCCTTCGCTTATACGGGAACAAATAGAGATCCAGGTTTCCAAGCTAAAAGAAGAACCTTTTAGCAAGAGAGAGATACTTGAGGAGGTCGAGAAGTGGTTAGCTGCATATGAAGAAGAATCATGGTTGGAGGAGTACAACAGGGTTTGGCCATTTAATGTTCTTTGAATTATTAATTATTAATGGTATACATATTCTATGCAAAATGCTTCTGACTATAACTATGCTTTTTTGCTTTAGGGAAAAAATCGGTGCAATGGTGGAAGAGGCACACATCTTGATCTGAAGCGGGCTGAGAAAGCCCGAGCGCTTGTCAACAAAATCCCGGGTGAAAAAACTATCTCCTTGTAGGAAACATATGTTCTTTGGAATTTCATATGGGAGGGAAGCGGATAAGTAATCATCCTACATAATGAAAAAATTGTGATATCTATTTCACTATTATTTCTTTGACATTGCATTTACAGGAGACTGAATGATAAACTTGTGCTTCTTCATATTGTCTCGGGCCGGGGAGAAAAGTTATAACTCAAAAATGACCAATTATAATATGAAATTATATCTTTGTGTATTTTTCTTGCTTAGCTTAAGTTTCTTTGCTAATATTATAGCCATTTTGCACTAATATATCTTTATCATTGCATTTGCATGGGAGAGGATGAAATAAAAGTTGTATGCTTCTTCAGGAGTTGTTAAGCACACTAATCAGCATGTTATATCCACCTTAGTTTTGAGCCTTGACTGCCAAATTAATATTTTAGTTTTGAAAGCTACTAATGATCAAAGTACATCGAGAAAATATGATTCAAAGTACAAATATAACTATGAAGGGGTTGAATTAGAAGTAGGATACTCTGTTGATAAAATCCTATGTTGCAGAAAAGGGTAATGGACTTATGGACCATCTAAGTTTAAAGTCCTATATCGATGAGATGAACTGATTCGGTTTTATTTTATTCTATTTTATTATAGAATAGTATATAGATTTGTTTTCGTATATATATCTTGAAGTATCACACGGCTCTGTATTAAAGTATTTAAAATAAATGACTTGGAATCTTAAATTTCTTCTTTGCCTATTTTACCTATTAGTTCAAGTTTCTTTGCTGTTATTTTCAATGTACATCATTCAAGGGATATGGGGTGTTGTTTTTAATCTTTTCTAGGCATCTCTTTAGTGTTGAATTAGATTATATGGTTGATGCCTTGTACCCTGTAAAACCAATATAATGGATGATGTAAGTATTTGAATGCTTTGATGTAGTTTTCTTTTTTAGAAGATATGTTTTTTTATATTCTTTTAGTTTCTTGGTTTTTGTTTGTTTTTTTATTTATTCCCTTACCTATCTTCCATACACTGGAAATGTTTGGTAGGGACTCTCTCTTTGTTTAGCTTCTGTTTCTCATCGATCCCTAATTTAATTCTAAAGCTTTTTATCTGATACATTACATTTTCTTTCCACAGATTTTCTGACTAACTTATAAATTGAAGTGTATGAGTATTTTCATCTCAGCTATTACAACTCTCTTATTCATTTATCTTGTTGATTCCAGGATTATAACTGTGAGCTTGGCATAGAAGAAGATGAAAAATATCGATTTGTTCAACATTTATTATTTTAATCTCCTTCGTCAAGGTAAGATTTCCCCTCTAACTTACATTATTATTTTATGTCATTGATCACATCTTCTTAATTCGCAGGGCATCTCATTTCACATTAACTTGCTGAGCTTATAAAACTTGGTGGAGTTTCATATTCCTCAGAATCATTTTATATTGCACAAAATTCTCAGACCACATGATTTCTATATATCCTATCATAATCTATCTTATAATTAATACTACGTAGCTGTAATGTTTTTCTTTCTAATTTTTCCTTTGATCTATATTCTTGATTTTTATATAACTTTGAACTAAGGCGTTTAAGAAGGCAGAGATATTCACTTGATTCAACACTTAAACGATTTTCCTTGAGTCATCTTTTTTAAGGTTAAATTATTCCTCTAACTTGCATTAGTTTATTGCAATTGAGTGCACTTTTTAAATTTTTTGAATGGGTGGAGAAGCAGTTTGATGCTTTGTTCGCTGCATTGCCATTATTTAAAGCGGCGGAGTAAATCGATTTAAAAGAATTGCAGAACCTCAGGTTATGTGCTCTATCAAATCTCTCTATCGTCAGCGGAGAAGCAGTTTGATGCTTTGGTCGTTGCACTGCCATTCTAAAGGGGCAGAGAAGATCAATTTAAAAGAATTGCAGAACTCCAGGTAGGTGCTCCATCAAATCTCCCTATCATCATTTTGTGCCTGAAGACTAGAACATTATGTGTATTGGAGGTGCGGTTTGGGCTTTAACCTGTATTATGTTTTAAAAATATATAATCTCTGTTATGAAAAAAATTGTATGATTCCAAATGTGTTCTGCTCTAATCAAACTATGACCATATTTAAATAAGCCCGGACTTAAAATAATAATTTTCAAGACTGAGTTAATTCTTATAGCCTTACATTTATATGACAGCTTTTAGTCATTAGATGCTTGATACGGTGGATGTTATGTTTTGATGAACATATGGACATAACTATAAAAACTTCTTATGATTTGCATTTTTTAGATCTCTTCAATACTTCTGAAGTCTAAACTCATCTTCCCGCCCAAGTGCTAAAAACATTCCAGCCCCACGATTTTATCGATTGAGATCTATGGATCAGACATTACTGTCTTCAGCTCAACCGTCCCTTCTCCTCTAGCTCAAACCAAATTGGAAACATTCTTATGATTTTAATCGTTTATTCAACCGATATTTAATTGTCTTTGGTGATTTACAGTCCATTACCATGTGTTCTATTCAAGTTTTGATTCCCGTTTAGTTTTCTTCCCTTCAAAATTGATCATTTTTTCGAGCTTATTCATATCAATTATCAAGTATTATTGTTCACTCCAGTGCAGCTTTTTTCTCTTTATCTCTGATTTTCTTTGGTGTAGGAACTAATTTTAATCTTTTTTTCAATCGATATATAGGGTTTGTTGGCATCACCGCCATAATAGTTTATCTTCAAATTCTGATTCTAATTGTGGAGATAAGATGTTTTATTGGGAAGCTAAGACGTTCATTCCTCTTTTTCTTTTTCCTTTTTTTTTTCTTTTCAAATAGCTGAATTTTATTTTTATGTTATTTCACATATCTTATCAAATTATTATCTCAGCTTTTTTCTACATTCCAGGCTTCCAGCTCATATCAACTCCAATTCTTTGCATTAAAATATTATAGAGGAATATGCAAGCAATACTGTTTCTAAATTGTTTATGTTTTTTTTGATAAATGGTTTGGCATATCAAGCTTGCATATCTTATTTCATTATACTTTCAGGAACAAAATGGAAGAAGTTACATCTCCAGATGCAACTAGGAATATTCTCGAACTTAGAGATTCTGGTATTATTTTATCTGCAGATGAACAAATGATGTGTTCATGATAATTGTTGAACTATAGATATTTCAGCCTATAATGTGCTTTACGAAATTCTGTTTTTCCTCCAAAAAGATGAAACAAAACCAAATTTCATCTGAATGTATCTAGCCGGTTTTGCTGGGATTTAATTTCTAATAACGTTTTCTTATAATTGTCTGATTCCAATCTTTAATGTAACTGCAATTATTGAACAACTATTTTCATACTTTTGCTTATATTTCAAGTGTTGAATTGTGCCTAAGTAACTACAATGATGTAACTACAATACTTGAACTACTCTTTTCTGTTTTGATTTGAATTTGGGTGTTTGAAATGCTAGAGGCCTCCCATAAGTTCATTCTTTGTGATGTATTTATGCATCTTTTTTATAAAGTGTAGTTTTCTCGTTTTACCGAGCGTTGGGCACCAACCGTCGCGCAACGCGCGCGCCCACGCTAGTATATACATACGCGCTCACTATATATAGTTTCGCATCCCATATCTCTTAAGATATTATTAATTATTTATTATTCCACATTTCCACTTTTTCTAACTAGGTTGCCGGCCGGAAACCTACAGCCATGTCGGAGGAGAACAGACAGTCTTCCTATCCGGACAGCACGACAGGCTTCGGCGGTGATATAAACAGTAACGACACTTATGAGAAGCCCTACGACCAAGAAACTGCCGCCGGCTATGGAGGGGATAATATGTGCCAAGAAACTGCCGCCGGCTATGCTGGAGGGGATGATATGTGCCAAGAAACTGCCGCCGGCTATGGAGGGGATTATTCCTGCATGAATGAGAAGCAGACCACTACTGAGGATGGGTATGGTCAAGACTCGTGCGGCGGCGGTGTTGACTATTATTTTGAGGACAAGCCTGCCGGGAAAAGCCATGAGGATTTCGAAAAGGAGAAAAAACACCACAAGCATCTCCAGCAGATTGGTGAGCTTGGCACCGCCGCCGCCGGTGCCTATGCCCTGGTATACTACTATACAAACTTATTCATAAATTTTCGTCAATACGTACGATACTTTTTCCATCCCAATATGCAATCAGTTCTATTTGAGAACTAAAGCATACTTCTTCTATTATCGAACTTATAAATTTTTGTGAGCAATTTTTAAATTTTAGGATTTGTAATTTTAGTCGTCGAACTTTCAGCTATTATCGTTCATTCGTTTGTAGTTCCCTAACTTCACTTGTAAAAATGGTCATGCAACTAGTACGTTGTAAATCTTTACAATTTAAGAAAACTTTTCCACCATAAAGTATTTTCTCGGGCAGAAAAATCCGACACCGGGAACATCTTTTTCGGTATGCTTTTGATGGAAAGTGTACTTTTCGGGGGAAAGTATTAGAGTCTCACACCGGAAAAGTTTGAATCAACAATGTGCTATATTAATACATGGACTACTCCTCCTAACAGGTTGACCTTTTAGGATGGAACCCCCATGTCTTAACAGAAAGTCCTTAAATTGTAAAGATTTAAATGTTACAAGATCAATTTGTAAGTGACTAAAGTTATGAGACTAATAATGAAATGACCGAAAGTAACAAGACAAAAAATGCAAACAATTAAGTATGTGTGAAGGTGTCCTAGAATAAACTAGATCCCTCTTAATTTATTTTATATGCAATCATAAGCCTAGCTGCAGTTCTAGGTTACAAGAGATATCAATTAAATCATTCAAACACAAATTAAACCACATTCATCCAATTAATCTATCATAAAGAGGTAAGGGTCAGATTGGTACTCGAAGTTGCATAAAAAGGGTCAAATAAGTACTTATATAGGAGGCTCTGTTCGGCCATCGCCATTTGGGGAGGTTCCCAGTGGAATTTTTTGATGAAATTTTTTGAGCATCTTATGCATTAAGTCTAGTTTAATCATACCAAATTTCAGCTAAAAATTCAACCGGGAAGGCATTCAAATGAAATCTTGAAGATAATTGCGCAATTAAAAGCACAATTATCTTCAAGAATTCCTTTGAATGTCTTCCCGATTGAAGTTTTAGCTGAAACTTGGTATGAGTAAACAAGAGTTAATAAATAATATGACCAAAAAAATTCATCAAAAAATTCCATCAGAAACCGCGTCAAATGGCGACGGCCGGACAATAAGGACTTATTTGACCCCTTTTATGCAACTTCGAGTACCAATCTGACTCTTACCTCCTATCATAAATATAGCCATACGTCATGGTTAACCCCTTCATCAATCCCAAATCCCTAATTAAAACTACTTACAATTCGTAATTGAAGAATCAACAAAATTGGGATGAGAAGAATAAAATGTCATTAATTAAAAAGTAGGAACTTACAAATAATCCCAGTGTCTTGACAAAATAGCGGAAAACAACGTAAAACTCGTCCATAGGCCTCTCTCTAAATTACGTAAGCCCAAAACGGGGATATGGAGGCCTTGTTTATAGAAAACAGCGTGCCTACCGACCGTGCCTCCGGAACAAATCTTGCGCATCAGGGTTAGGCACGATCGTGCCTGGATGGCAGTACGGTCTTCCACACTCTCTTTAGCAGGCACGGCGTGCCTAAGTATTTCCGGCGTCTTGGGCAGCCTGCCATGCACACACGGCGTGCCTAAGTATTTCCGGCATCTTGGGCAGCCTTCCATGCACGCACGGCGTGCCTAACCGTTGGGCATGACCGTGTGTGCCTCAAATAGTCAAATGTGGTCTTTTTCTTCGATTTCTTCATCAAATCATCGTCGTGAACCTCGCGGAGATCTCCAAAACTCTCGAATCACTCTCGAATGCTCATCAACTCATCTCAATTGCTTCTTAAGCGCCGGCGCCAGGCTCTAATTCCCTGATTTTGACTTCAAACAATACAAAACTCGAACCAATGCCCGATAAACATAACTTGAGCTAAAATTGAGACTTATGACACCTTAAAGCTAGGAAAACCATCAAAAGTTGATCCCAACACGCAACAAATGTGTGTTGAAATACGGAAATATCACTCACACACACACATAATATGCAAATATCCATGGAATAGAAATAGGCTATTACGAGGGAGTTGCACAACTATAAGCACAGTCTCTATATCCCAAATTCCTATTCACATTTAGTATATAGAAGGTTCTGTTTGTATTTTAACAAACTAATACATCAAAAACCACTTTAACTCTTTAATCATAACCACTGTTATTCTACAACATTATCAACTTTTACAAAAGAAACATTCTTTCTAAAATCACTTTAAAAAATCACTTTTTAAAAGCAAAAACAATGCAATTAAACCCTCCCATAATCAAGTTTTGTGAGATAGACTATATAACTAATTAAGTATGTGTGGGGTTGTGACAGTATGAGAAGCACGAGGCAAAGAAAGATCCGGAGCATGCGCACGAACACAAGATAGAAGAAGAGGTTGCTGTGGCGGCGGCCGTCGGCTCCGGTGGCTTTGCGCTCCATGAGCATCACGAGAAGGAGGAAGCCAAGAAAGATGAAGAAGAGGCTGAGGGACACAAGAAGCACCACTTCTTTAATGATCTTGTTTCATTAATTACGACAAACATTTGAATTTTGTAATTTATTTAATTTCGATCGTACGTATCTGCTGCATCTTGTTAAGTTTGTGTATTACTGCCTATATAGGGAAAATCACACTTTTAGTATCTGAAATAGTCACCATATTGAAACGTCGGAGCTGTATTTCTGAGATTGTAAATGTCACCCCTCAATTATCCAAAATAATGTAAATGTGGTCCTTTGAAGTGTGAAATGTACTTCTCATCCACATTGTACATTTCACACCTCAAAGGACCATATTCACAACAATTTAGACAATTGAGGGGTGAAATTTACAAAGCGGAAAATACAAGTATGACATTTCAATATGGTGACTATTTCAGTGACTAAAAGTACGATTTCCCGCCTATATATATAATAATCCGTACGTGTGTGAATAATGGCCCTCCCTTTAATTTCCGTTTGTGGGTGCTTTGATAGTTTGCTGTAATAATAATAAGAGCTTATAAACGCTGCTTTATCCAATAAATAATACTTGTACGTAGTACTCCGTAATATGTGTCATATAATGATTCTTATTTGATCCTATTTATCAAACCTCTTTTACGAAACACCATATGAGATCGGCTAATTTTCATTCGCTCTCTATTAATAATTTGTCTCAAATTTTTTGGTCTACGTCTGATATATGATATGTTTAAGTTTGATCTGATCTAATCTGATCTGAAGTCTGAATTGGTTTGGTTTGATACACATCTGATTTCTGTGTATTTTATAAGTCTAGTATGATCTGGTTTGTCTGAATCTAACCTATTCTACGTTTGGTCCGATATGATCTTGGACTAAAAGCATTTCAAGTAATGACATCATAATATTACGAACTAACTTATTAATTATTCACCAGTTTCACCTATGAGTACGTTTGTCTTGTAAAACATTGTATATTTGCAAACAATAATTGCTTTACTAGCCATGAGCTCTGATTCTGATAAACTTATCACTTACTACTTCCGTCTCTTTTTATTTAGACATTTTTGATCTATTACTTTAACTAATATATTTATGTGAAAATTAATAAATTTAAGAGAGATTTACCTAAATAGGACTAAAACATGATGAAATTGTAAAAATAAGACCACTATGTTTTATTTGACAAAAATAGGATTAAAAAAAGGTTATCTGACTAAATTGCCCTTAATTAAAAAAGTCCCTGCATCGCATGCCGCCAGCTCTGCAATTCATCGCAGATTCGCAGAAGACCTCTGCCTCCTGTGGATTATTGCTGCTCCAATCGCCCTGCACTCATCGACGATCAGGCAGGGCTTCTTCCTCCTCCTCCTCCTCCTCTTCTTCTTCTTCTAATCCTCTTCAAATTTCTGGTCCTATGTTCTCTTCTTCTTTGTTTTTTCGGATTTGAATTTTATTTGGGTCCTCTATTTTCTTTTTATTTAGATTTCAATTATTTATGTATATATTAATTTTGATTAATTTGGAACCTCAAAATGCCTTAAGCAAACAGAAAATGTCAATTTTATGACATTACAATTATCAAGATGACAGTATGTTATGAAACTGCCATTGTTATTAAAAAACTGACACTATAAATATATCATTTCTGTTTCGAAAATGTCATGTGAATGACATTATTACTCTTTGGAAATGTCATTTTCTTCTTTGAACTATCACTTTAGCAAATGTAATGACATAAACTTGACATTGTTACAGACCAGTGTTGGATTAAACATCAATTATGGCATTTTCTAAAGTTTTTTAATTTCAAAGTAAAACTGTCCATCTTCATAGATGTAATGCCATAGATTTGACAGTCTTCGAGTTAAAACTGATAATTTTATGGCATTCTAAGATTCCTGCTTTATTAAAAAATCTGAAGTCCAAATTAAAGAACAAGATAACAGAGTAGCAGAAGATTGAAGAGGTTGAGAAGAAGGAGAAGAAGATCAGAAGAAGAAGAAGAAAAAAAAAAGAGGAAGAAGAAGAAGAAGAAGAAGAGTACATACCTGACTTGACTGGAACAATTGCAGCAGAGCTCGTCGATGGCGGAGCTGCGGAGCTGCAAGAATCATTGAAGAGGTGCAGCCGGCGTCGAGAAAGCAGCTGCGAGTTGTGATCCATGGCGGCTGAGTTTAGTCCATGGCAGCTGAGTTGCAAGAATCGCATGTCTCGCGATCGATGAAGCTGAATTGGGGGAAAGGTGATTTAGGGATTGGGGGTAAAAATGTAATCTGGAGTCTTATTTAAGCAATTTAAAACTTCAAGTCCTATTTTGGAGTTTTAATCATGTTTTAGTCCCATTTAGTGTAATTACTATTTAAACTTTTATGATAGTAGTTTTAACAAAGAACATTTTCACACATTTTCGTATTACTGTGTATAATATATAATCAGTCAAAGTTGAACAAATTTGAATTGAAAAATAGTGTTTGGCTAAATAAAAAAGGACGGAGGGAGTACTACGTATTAGTTATTACCAAACTCATCAATCATATTGTCCCATGAGAGTGTACACTCACTTGTATAATACTCAATGTTCAATCGGGTATTTTATGTTATGCTTAATAAGTATAACTTTTAAAAGAAATGATATTGTTATTAAATATTCAATGTATTCGTAGCACACTTGAGTTTTATGATCTAAATGTAATATATATGCTACAAATCAACTTATTCATTTAACAATATTATCATTAGTTATTCATTTAACAACTTATTCAACTTATTTATTATACTTATTTTATAATTTAGAAAAATTAATAGTAATAATCCAACTATTGGTGGTCCACTGATAATAATCCCAACTATCGATTATTTCAGAATAATCCTAACTTTAGGGACATTCCGCCAATAATGGTCCGGCGTGACCAGCTATAAATAAATTCCTATAGTTTTTAAAGTGGATGAGAAGAGATATAACAGGTAATCCCTATAAATAACCTCAATTTTTAATTTTTACTCTTAATTTATATTTAAAACTCACATGTTATAACATGTAATATCCGGTCATAGACCATTATTGGTGGAGGGGCCATATAATTGAGATTATACAAAAATAATCAATAGTTGAGATTTTACCTTTTTCCACGCAGTGAACAATTAGCAATGCTGAAATATAAGCGGAGTACAATTTAACAAAAAAAACGAAAAATAAAAAGAGAAAGGAAGGAAAAAAGAAAAAAGAAAAGAAAAAAATAAAGTTTAACTAGCATCTACATTTCTTTTTTCATTAAAGGATTTATTCTTCATCTCTTTGAATTGAAGTATTTTCATTTCATTCTTATTTTCACGAGAGGTGAGACCGTGAGTAATCTAGTATGCCTCCTTCTAGTAGAGCACATGGCCGGCATGGACACTTCTAGTGGTCCATGAGTGAAATTTTGGAACAATAGTTTAGATCAATCTCGTCAACGGCAGAGTAGGGGAGCTCCTTGTGGGCACTCTAAGTGAGTTACTATGATTTGCAACCCTTATATACTCATCGGGGATTCGAGCGTTGGAGTCTTTGAGATTAGGGATTCAACCATTTAGAATAATCAAAAGGACCTATCGGATTCGGGCGTTGGAGTCTTTGAGGTTAGGGATATAACCATTTAGATTAATCAAATGGACCTAACAATTTCGAAATAAAGTAATTGATCATAATAGGATTAAAACATGAACACAAAATGTATAGAATAAGATTGAATATGGATAAAATTAAAAAAAAAAGACTAAAAGATGAAAATAATAAAGTTATTGAGTCACCCAAAAATAGGAGTGAGTTAGTCATATTTTGGAAATAAAACAATGATGATTTTATTTATGAATGTTGTCCGTGTTTTAATCCTATTTACATAATTTTCCTATGGGAAAACTGTTATGGGAGTTATCTTCCAGCTCAGGTCTCCAATTTCATCCACAAAGGATGAATAAACCACTAAAGGTCTCAAGGGAAGAGGTCAGCCTTCAAGCCTATTTCCGGCCAAATACAGTAGGGTTCCAGGGAGGAGATTTTCGGGGAAGAAGGGTTTCGGCCAACGCCAGTTCAACGGCAGGGAAGGAGATTAAATAGGTACAAAGCAAAGTAAGAACGGAAATTCTTACCATATGGAAGCTAACGTCCGAATCGCACAAGTATGGAAGGAGGAGAAGCATCGCATAAGGAAGGAGGTCTGCGGCTCGACAATTGGAAACAAAGGCTTGGGTCGGGTACACCTCCAGTCAATTGGGCTTAAGGAAATAAGTGACTTGGGCCAATACCAACACAATCTCCACCTTATTGGACCTTAGAGCACAACGCTCTAAAACAATTTGAGACTCATCATCGCTGGATTGCCCGAATAATCACAAAGACATATTCTGGCAAAAGGGGTAAGATCACCAGGCAACTTATCCGCAATCAATGTTTAACGTGCGTTTGCACGACAGCAACTTTTCGACCGAGAGACATTTAGTCCCCATGTCAGCAGGATTAAATTCCGATGGAATTTTAATCAACTTGATATGACCTGCACTTACAATATCTCGTATAAAATGAAATCTAACATCAATATGCTTAGTTCTATCATGAAAAACAGGGTTTTTACACAATTGAATAGCAGATTGACTATCAGAAAACACACAAATATCCTGCTTAAGGCTACCAATCTCCGTTAGGAGACGTTTAAGCCAAATGGCTTCCTTAAACGCTTCGGTAACGGCCACATACTCCGACTCAGTGGTGGATAGGGCAACTATGGGTTGGAGTTGAGATTTCCAACTAATGCACGACCCACAAAGAGTAAACACATAAGAGGTAGTGGATTTCCTATTGTCTCTATCATTAGCAAAATTAGAATCCACATACCCACTCAACTTAACCCCCTCAGAACACCTAGTGAAAACCAACCCATGATTAACAGAAGATTTCAAATACCTTAGCAACCACTTAAGAGCATTCCAATGATCTAAACCAGGATTAGACATATAGCTACTCAAGCAACTAACAGCATAGGCAATGTCGGGTCTAGTACTCACCATGAGATACATCACGGACCCAATAGCATTGGAATAAGGCGCAGATTTCATTTTAGCAATTTCAGGAGCAGTCTTAGGAGACTGATCCTTACTTAACACAAAGTGAGACGCCATCGGAATAGAAACGGGAGTAGCGGAATGCATGTTATATTTACTCAAAATCTTTTCAATGTATGAAATCTGATTGAGAACTAACACACGCTTACTCCTATCCCTAACAATGTTAATGCCTAGGATCCTTTTGGCATCACCTAGGTCTTTCATAGCAAAGTTCTCACTGAGACGCTTTTGCACACATTTAATGGCGTCACCCGAAGGAGTCACAATAAGCATATCATCCACATATAGCAATAAAAACACAGGCACAGAGGAAGTATTTTTAAAGTATAGGCAATGGTCGCATTCGGACTTGTGAAATTTCAAAGATGACATGCACTGGTCAAATTTGATATTCCACTGCCTCGGGGACTGCTTCAGACCGTACAAGGCCTTCCTAAGCAAACACACATGATCACTCTTCATGGGATCCACAAAGCCC